GAAAGGTGTTTGTTGCGTGGAAGAATGTACTGTATTATTATAAGCAAACTCTGCCAATGGCAGAAGGATTGTCCAATCATCTTGTTGGTAGTTGATGGTACACCTTAAATATTGTTCCAAGACTTGGTTTACGCGCTCTGTTTGTCCATCAGTTTGAGGATGGAAAGCTGAAGATAGCTTTATGTCCACTTTTAAAATCTTGAAAAGAGTCCTCCAGAATCTCGACACAAATTGAGTTCCCCTATCCGATATGATATCTTTAGGTAATCCATGATAGCGATAGATATTATCAATGAAAAGCTTAGCTGTTTCTTCACCTGTGATAGATTTTGTACATGGCATAAAATGTGCCATCTTGGTGAAACGATCTACTATCACAAATATAGAATCATAAGATCTTGAGTTTGGAAGATCTGTGATGAAATCCATAGAAACAGAAGACCATGGTTGTTCTGGTATAGGTAATGGCTGAAGAAGTCCGTAAGGTCGATGTCGAGGAATTTTTGATCTTGAATAAATATCACATGATTGTACAAAGTCTTTGACTGACTTCCACATTTGTGGCCACCAAAAATCTCTTGATATGAGTTCCAGAGTCTTATTATATCCAAAGTGACCTGCTGCTGGAAAGTCATGATGTGCTTGAAGAACACGCAAACGTGCTTTTCCTTCTGGAACATATAGGCGTCCTTCAAAATATAATAGATTATTCTTGAACTCGAACTTAGAAGAATCATGAGACTTGGAAGAATTATTCTCGATATCATGAACAAGAGGGTCTGAGGACATACTGGACTGGATTTGCTTGAGAAAAGTTGAATCAACAGTCAGTGTTGATTTCACTGCTCGGAGATGAAATTGCTCCGGTTTCAAGAGGACCGTTCTTTGTTGCTCAAAAGCTGCATCTCCTTCTTTTGGTGCAAAATAAGAACGTCTAGACAGGGCATCGGACAAACCTTGTTGTTTTCCTGGCCGATAAGTGATAATGAAGTCGAATCTTGACAAAGACATACTCCAACGAGCTTGACGACGATTCAACACGCGTGCTGACATGAAATACTCGAGGTTCTTGTGATCTGTATACAGAGTGACTGGACTAGAAGCACCTTCTAGATAATGACGCCATTCTTGAAAAGAATCCACGATTGCAAGAAGTTCTTTATCGTGGATCTCATAATTGATCTCGGCTGCTGAGAATTTTCTTGAATGAAAAGCTATCGGATGAAGTTTGTCATCTGTTCCCATTTGTGATAAAACTGCACCCAAGGCAAAATCCGATGCGTCTGTTTCCATAAAAAATACCTTGGAAAAGTCAACACGATATAAGACTGGTGCAGAGACAAACGATGTCTTCAAGGCTTCAAATGCTGCTTCCGCTTCTTGATTCCATTGGAATTTATCTTTACTAGTCAAGCGTGTAAGTGGAGCTGCAACTCGTGAGAAGTCTTTGATGAAGATCTGATAGTAATTGGCAAATCCCAAGAAACATTGGACATCTCTTACAGTCTTTGGAATCTTCCAATCCATGATTGTTTGGACTTTCTTAGAATCCATTATAAGACCATCATTTGAAATGATGTATCCTAAAAAGTCAACTTGAGTAGTGTGAAATACACACTTTTCTATCTTGGCGTACAATCCTGCATCTCTAAGTTTTTGCAATACTTGACGAACATGTATTTCATGTTCTTCAACATTCTTAGAATAAATCAGGATATCGTCTAGGTAGCAGACGACAAAATTGTCTAAGAATTCACGAAATACATCATTCATGAGATGTTGAAAAGCAGCTGGTGCATTCGTGAGTCCAAAAGGCATGACATTGTATTCAAAGTGTCCGTACCTGGTTCGAAACGCAGTCTTCCATTCATCTCCTTCTTTGATCCGTACTAGATTATATGCTCCTCTTAGATCTATTTTTGTATAGATCTTAGCTTGATTTAACTGGTCAAGGAGTCCTGATATCAAAGGGAATGGATACCTGTTCTTGATTGTGATCTTGTTGAGTCCTCGATAGTCAACACACATTCGTAAAGATCCATCTTTTTTCTTTACGAATAAAATTGGAGCTCCTGCTGGAGATTTTGAATGGCGTATGAAATTCTTCGCTAAATTCTCGTCAATATATGTCTTGAGTTCAGCCAACTCATCTTGCGATAAACTGTAAATTGGTCCAAATGGTGGCTGAGTTCCTTCCTTGAGATCGATTGAACAATCGTATGGGCGATGCTCAGGAAGAATATCTGCATTCTTTTTCTCAAAAACGTCTTGATAATCTTGATATTGACTTGGAATGCCACTTGAAGTCTTTACGCTTTCAGAAATAGGTGCAGCATAAATAGCAAAAGTTGATCCTTCTTTTGCTGCGTGTATAAATGCTTTTGCACCTATAAGTGCGGGTTTTACTATACTAGACTCATGGTTTTTTACTTGATTAATAGAACTGTTACTAATGCTCCGAGGAAAATCAAGTTTACGAGAAATCCAATCTATTCGAGGATTATACTTTTCTAACCATGATAAGCCTAAAATTATTGGATTAGAGGGAGATCTAATTATATTAAAAATTACGCAACTACTATGACCATTTATTACTACATCTACAGGAAGTGTTTCGTGAGTTACATCTCCAGAAGACAACGGACGACCATCTATGACTTCTACGTGTACAGGTTTAGTTTTTTGTATTAATGATATTCTATGACATCTAGCAAATTCTTCATCTAAAAAACAAGCTGAGGCTCCTGAATCTATCAAGGCAGAGGCTTTGTAATTATTAGGTCCTAAACGCACATCTATTATAAAACAAGGAGATGGTTCTGAGGAGAGGATAGGACCTTCATTAGAAGTTGTACAAGATTCCAGCCGCACGGTCCCTATTGTAGCTGGACGTACTCGTTTTCTGACATACTGTCTTCTTTGACAGCCGTACTCCTCATTTTGTAGTTACGTCGTTTCTTTGGACAATGTTGAGCAGTGTGCTTAGGTTCTCCACAATATAAGCACAATCCTTCTTGTCGACGACGAGACTTTTCTTGCTCAGTAAGAGGTTTCAAACGTACCGCATCAATTTGCATATCCTCTACTTCTGAAGGTATGTGTTGAGGAGACGTCGGTGTTGCCATTGAATTGTAGTAACGTTGAGGCCTACTTGTGCGACTCTCGGATCGAAATTCAAAAAGTCGATTGTCGCACTTCACAGCAAAGTCAATTGCTTGACTCAATGTTTGAGGATCAGGTAAATTAAGCATCAATTTCTTTACCTCATATTGTAATCCGTAGAGAAATTGACTCACAAGTGCGGCATCATCCCACTTGATATCAGTTGCAAGTTGTCGAAATTGCGAAGCATATAATGTTACTGATCGATTGCCTTGTCGCAAAATACGGATCTTGTTGGTTGCAACACGAATTGCATCATGTTCTCCAAACATGGATCGAAACTCCGCCAAAAAAGCCTCCAGATTATCCAATATTGGATCTCGTCGTTCAAGAAAAGATGAAAACCATGACAATGCTGAACCTGAAAGAAGTGTACCAATGAATCTAACTTGTGACCCTGGAGTTGGATAGCTCTGGGGTTGAAGTTCAATCACTAATTGGACCTGATTGATGAATCCTCGAAACTTGGATCTGGTACCATCAAACTTCTCGGGCAAGGCCACTCTCGGTTCTCTAACACTCGAAGGGTGTTCCATTCTGGGAGAAGGGACATGGTTTGGTGCAGATGTTGAAGCAGCTCCAATCATCTCTATATCTTCACTTCCTACCATTCTTGTTGCTCCTTGTGGTGGTAAATTGAGTTGATGCATCGCAAGCATTAACTCCCTCAATTGTTCTTGCATCTGTGCCATTGCACTCTTCATTTCAACAAGCTCTGCCATAGTAGCACTTAGAAAAGAGAAGATGTCTAATAACGCTCAAAACAAATAGAAGAGAGGAATTGATAACAAAGAAAATACTAAGAACAATATCAGTTTAAAAGAAGGTAATCCGCAACTTCTAATGCGCTTATGTCTTATCAAGAAAAAGGGGTAATCCACTCTTAATCAAGAAAAGACAAAGCTCTCATATTGTAAGTGTACTCTTGTCAATCTGTCAAGGACAAGAACTCGATGAAAGCTAAAGAGTAAGTGAGACTTTTCTCAAAGAAATAGGACAAAATAGAAATATGTATATTAAGAAAGAAATTAGAATGGCTATTGCCAAAATACAAGAAAACTAGAGACCCTTGAAACTAGACTAGAAGCAAGAAAGGAGTTGACAAGAGTGAAGAGGGCTTCACTCTTGCCTCTATATATACTATCTAACTAGAAGCCACATGGCGATGTTCTATAAGACCTCCAATATATGTTGACTTTCTAGGCCACATGCCTTTGCTTGCAAGGCAAGTTTTCTATGGATGGACCACGTAGTTAGCTTATTCTTTAAGCTTCCAACATGTGTGGCACATGGCTAACTTGTTGACCAAGTTTCTAGCCTAAAAGTCAACTATAGACTCCTATAAAGTCAAAGCAGCGTCTATGAAGCTTCTAAGAAGCTTCTCTAGAAGATATTACACAATTAACCTACTTTTATCTACTTTTACATACTTTTATCTATTCATATAGGTAATTATATGTATGTCCGTGACACAAGCAAGGTGTTGGCCTTTGGATGCCTTGTTAGTTATCACCACAACTAATTAATACGTCAGTTTCACCTGTTTTGAGTAAATAAATAAATAAAACAAAAAACAAACGTCAACCAGGTACAACCATTCCTCTCCTGACGACAATGCCTAAAGCGCTAAGTCAACAAGCTCCAACATTGCTCATTTGAAAAGCAACCCGGTTAGCGCGCAATCTATGGTAGAAACGATTTAAAAACTCTTATATTTATTATACTCATTGATATGCATTTTTCAACTACATAAAATAACTACTGAACGCCTACAATAACATCACATCTTCTTCAGCGTCTACACATAACCACATAAGCATTTCCACAAGCACAGATCATGTAATAACGTGATGATACATAATTCTCTTATAGTGTAACACAGGCTTGGGAACGAATACAAACATTTATTGAATGAAAGTATTCAAGAAATGCTACAACTTTGGTAGATCAGCGAGGATCTTCAGCTTGGCGTTGAGTGCCTAGCAGCAAACCCTCCTCTGTTTGAGTAGGAGCTATCAATGTGGTGGGTTGAGTCTGGCCATTAGTGCTCGCAAAAGGATTTCGCAGCTTATTCAGTACCGACCGAGACTGTAACCCACCAGCTTCACCACTAGGCGCAGCAGCTTGAGTATCTTTTGGTCGTTTGGCTTGCGAACCTTCACCAATATAAACACGTTGAGACAGAAAGTATAACCAGGACTAGAAGAATGCATGCTTTATAGTCAAATAAAGAGAAGAAGTTGAGGACCCAGTATAAAAAAACAAAAACACAGTCAAAGCGGAAGTACCTGACAGATTCTCTGTAGGCGGAACCTTTCTTAGGCGGCTGAGGGCGAGGCCGCTCGTATTAAGAGCACTAACATATGGTTGCCGCTGTTGAGTGGTGATAGGATCCTCGTTACCAGCACTAGTTACGCCTGCATCGTAGTAACTCCGTGGCGCCCGCCTTTGGGGAACTTGGAAATTGTTTGTGGAATCCCCGGGAGGCCCGTTCGATGGAGTATTTATAAGCAAGCCGAGTTTAGACAAAATTTCTCGCTCCTGTTTCGCATCTGTCTTACAGCATAGGAAATCCAGTCGATAGATATTAACTCCTGCGTAGGAAGGTGAAAATTGGTGCTAGACAATGTAAGATAGGATACAGATAATCCTGAATTGTCTATCTACTTTGGAAGAGAGGTCATGCAAGATCAACGAAAATAATACAAATCTTAGGAAACAAATCAAGGTGAATGAAGCAAGGATACATTCCTCATCAGGGTTATCTGCAAAGCTGGAATGGAGGGCATTGCCCATTCCATCCAGGATAGCGGACGTCGTCATTGAAGATTCCACACAAATAACTGCTGCTATGGCATCTTCTTGAATGACCTCTCCCCTGAACATGAGCCTCGCATGTGCTGTTCTTGTAGCCACAAATGCGAACTGGGATTATCAGTAAAAACCATACAGAGTGGAACTGTAGTCCAACATTGTTGATGTAAAACGTTCATCAATATGCAACTTCATACTGACCCCTACACACAACCTCAGAGGCGATGACAAGCATCAAATTAAAGTAAAACGAACCTGCGAATAGAAGAATACACTTAACTCTAAATGGTGAGTTTATTCTTGAGGTATAATTACAGAGTTTCAGAATGAGCTTACCTTGTGCTAGTCTAATCAAACTTTCAAGCATTCGTATTGTTGTCCTAGCTGCAACCACTCAATGCCGACAACTGGACTTCATCAGAAGTCGACCAACGTTACAGTTGACATTAATAGCATCAAGACAGTACTTGCTGCTAATAAACCAAAATCCAAAGAGTTGTTTAAAATGTGAACACATGTGTAGATTAGGAACTTGACAGCTATACTTGTAAGGAACATGCAAAAGCTCCACCAACACATGCTTATGTTAGTGATACACGGCAGCATGCAATCCGGTGCACCACAGGTTTTGACCCTCAAACATTAGGAACCTTAGGGTATATTCAAATTATATTGGTGTATTAGACATGGGGTATGTGGTGAATTCAGGCATTCTTACTTTGTTACAAGCCCTGACAAAGAAAATGAATGAATTTATGAAAGCATACCTGCATTTGTAGAAGCGGAACGCCGCTGCAGCTGGTAATAGCTGGAAATAACACGGCTAGCTTCAGGTGTAAGAGATGGTTTGAACTCTTCCCGTACGTATCGGATATAGCTGTGAAACAGTGAAAATTGGAGACTTTACTGTTATGTGATTGGCTTTACAGGATTTCCAAGAGTAAACTCTTCCTAATAACTGAATCACTGCCTCTTTTCACTAATGACCGCAACTCAGTGGCAATTACTGATTCATTAGTATAGCATTACAAATAAATAATCATTATATCTCTATAGACGGACAACATCGATTTTCATCTCTTCATATGTGAAAGATTTGTGCATTTTTAATTGAAAGATAAGCAAGAATTACCTCCGCAACATGGCCATTGTCCAGATGTCAGAGCTACCATTGCTGCTGTCTGATTCATCTACTTTTGTGTGCTGGCCAAACAGATCCACAAAAACTCATTGTCAGGAAGTCAATTTGATAGACGCCCTTACTTGAAGTATGAATAGGAAGATAGTTTTAAAAACTCGATGTAAAGGTAGTTTTAAAAATAACTAAGATGTGATCAGAAATTGACTATAACATAGTCAGCGGCAGTAGCACCTTGTTAAAATAAATAGCAATGTTTTTAAAGCAAGTCCTTAGAAAGCATAGTGTAACATTGTGGGAAAGAAAAACAAAAAGAAAAGGTTACCTCTGCGAGTATGTGAGATGAGACAATCTTGTCCCACTCAGGATTCTTTGTGTCCAAAAGAACCAGAACGACATCAAAACGACTCAGAAGCGGTCCAGACAATGTTGTGTTAACAGTTAGGGCTGTTTCTAATTAAGGAAATGTCCGTGAAATGCAAGTGACAAAAAAAAATGATTCCCACACATTGAAATCCTCATCAGCCTGTAACATACTCCCTAGTACCAGCAATGAGGATACGTTGCGATGGATCGTAATGACCTTTCGGGTTGGTGACACCAAACACGGTTGTTCGTGTGTTGAGAGTAGTCACAAGCCCTGCCTGAAAGTCAAGTGAATACATGTGGTTACAAGTATACCAAAAAAGGTCAATCAAGGGTACAAGACGCAAAAACTTCCCGCAACCATGCTACAACCTTTTCAACTACTCTTGTTCGATCAATCTGGACTAAGGCTGCCGTGGGCTTTCAACTGCTCATTACCATCTACATCAGCAAATCACTAGTAGCAAGATAATTGTTTGAATGTGATCCACGCACATTCTCTAGGCAGTGTACATGCTATATGCGATCAAGAGAACGTGATACCTTGGCCACACTCAATGTTTGCTGCTCCATAGCTTCATGAATAGTAGCTCTGTCAGCCTCTCGAATACTGAAAAGACAATTGGAATTTATCAACACAAATTGTCAGAGGCCAAGACTGCTTGAAAGATTTATATCCTAACCTACTTGAAACCACTCACTCGTGCATAGAAAAAGTGCAGAACTGCACACAAAGAGTTGAGACAGTAGAGTGTTGTGCGCGCGCGCGCGCATTCACACATACACATATTTACATCGAAGAGAGAGAGAGAGAGAGAGAGAGAGAGAGAGAGAGAGAGAGAGAAGCATGTGGTTACAAGCATACCAAAATGCGTACCTGTCGAATTCGTCTATACAACAAAGGCCTCCATCAGCTAGCACAAGAGCCCCCGCTTCCAGCATCCAATCTCCTGCTCATTGCCACAAAATAGATGAATATATAATTGGTTGGCTTGGATGCTGCTGCATTGCTACAATAAAGCAGTCTTCATGCGAATTTACCTCCATCCTTGACAGCAGTCACTGTAAGTCCAGCACTAGTACTACCCAGGCCTGTGGTCATAATTGACCGATGACTCAGTTTCGCCGCATACTTAAGGAACTGTGATTTACCTGTTCCTGCATAACATAGAACGAGACCCATGGCCATTCAGTACACGTACTAGATAGTATTACCCATCATAGGCAGGAGTTGCTTTACTTCACTCATCGTTGATTCAAAACCTAAGCGCAGACCTTCAGCGATTTAACAGTCACATGTGCAATACGCCGGTTACAACGTCCTCAATTGCTTGTGAAATAATAAATAGGTGTTTGTGGTAATCTGTGGTTGCTTCCCATAGATGCTGCACGAATGCACTGATTCAAAGCCGAACATTTTCAACAAGCGACAATTCAACAAGTTCAATAAAGTCACCAAATTTTATGACAAACCTGGGTCACCCACAAGAAGTAGATGTGACTCTCCTCGAACTCTTGTACCAGATGCGTCTATATGTTGTACCCCGCCTATAAGTGTCAAAGCAACTGCAAAAAATGCTTGGAGGTTAAGGAGTCAATAACGTGAGTAAGATTTTAAATATACACAAAAATCAAAGGGTAACTAAAACTGCAAATGCGACGAGTATTTGCCAGACTAAAAGTTGAAGATATAGGACACATACGCGCGAGCGCACCACAAACGGATCGTTCCCTCTCTCCCTCTCCCTTTTCTGATATATATATATATATATATATATATATATATATAGAGAGAGAGAGAGCGAGAGAGAGAGAGAGAGAGAGAGAGAGAGAGAGACGCAGACACACACACATACACGCATACAGTTGCAATTCTTCCTACTTCACCTATTTTCTTCAATAACTAAAACATCAAATTTGTTTCTACTACAAGTCGTTCTAAGCAGTAAAAGAACATTCCTTCGCTTGGGTATGCACTTACCGGCGAGCTTGACAGTGAATAGTCCATACACTTGAGGGCAAATGTTCTGCAAAATAGTGTTACGACCTGCAGTCAACGAAAAATTATTAGAAACCAATGCTTACTGTCTTGCAGTAACCGGAAAGATCCTTGTATTTTCATGAATTGGCTACTCAAGGTAACCAATGTCCAAAGAATTTGTTACATCCACATCTCAATAACCATCACCGTCTAACTCCAATATCATGCATAATTATCCAAACTGGCCAGGAAATCATGTCGACCTTTAAAAGGGTTGTCTGAAAAACGTTGCCAAAAGTCCTTAAATTGCTGAATCATGTGCGGAGACACTTCCACAGTTGTCTTCAACTCGTTGGCTTTTCTAAAAACCACCAATACACAAGTGAATATACAATTCCATCTTCATTGTAACTAAACTGGCACCAGTTTCGAGACTTCTGTCGCACAAGCATTAGGTACGCCTCTCATTATATTGCATCAGTGACAAGCTAAAAGAGTCGCTTGCAACCACTCAAAAGAAATTCCTTAAGAACAACCTGATGTAATTGGCAAGGAGCATGAGCTCCAAGTCACAGCGTGCATCTGGTGCGGGTGTGCGCCACTTCGCAAAGAGTGGACCAGTCACCATAACCTCATCTGCGCATCACATGGCATATTTGACGAGCAACGTCAATGAGGCATTTTAGGATTTTGAAATACTAACACATTTTTGCATCTTGCATTTTAAAAAGATATTTCAACTTACCACCGGCCTTTACAGTATCCGCCAGATCGTCCTCAAGAACAACCACAATTGAACGTGGAATTGAACCCATTCCTAGCGTCTGCATACTTTCTTGAATCTTGATTTCTTGATAATCATGGCAAACCGACATGGTGCCTTCAACCAGTTTGAACTTTGTCCCAGGACAAGCTTTATGCTTCTGTAACACACAATCACAATTCTAACACATCAATCTTTTTGATCTCATTAACAGATAGGGCTATCTGAGTTTTTAATTTCAAATGTTCATGGCTTAGAACGAAGTCTATTTAGAGAGTGAATAAATTACTGACCTCTGACGGGCAGATTGGTGGAAGCTGGACAGTATTTCCCAAGTCTAGCTCGGGTTCCACCTTAAATCTGAGAATAAGAAAGTGATAAATCATTAACAATCCAACTCAGAAGTTTCCAATAACTCTTTCATGTGAAATTAGATGATGAACCATGAAGGCTAGAAAAGATCAAATGGTTCATAACCTAGGCCAAATGGCCTGTGGTTCTGCTTGAGGTGGTCACTGCAGGTTTATGAACTCTATAATTAAAAACCAAGGCATTATATTCTTTAACAATGTTTCTAATTGAACAAATGTAGCACACAGTATCCACACCTGAATTTGCACTTGCCACACTCATATTCTTGCTCTCCTTCTAGTATTTTTACTGCACCTGATCGTATTACAGTTCCTTTAAGTGTGAGGAGCCTTCCAACATCCTTAACCCGAACGCGTCCAATATTAGGCTTTGTCTCTGAAACACATCATGTCGAATCAAGAGCAGAAACGAGTAAGAATAGACCTGCTAAGAAGTTAACATCTGAGACTATCAATTACAATACAAATATCTGGTTGATGGCTTCCCTCATATTGCTTGGATTGAGGCTATCTTCGTACGAACCTATTCTTCTGGCAAACTTTCAATGATAACACTTCGTCGGATGCATACCAGGGCACTCGAAGGCTGAACCATGCACGTTCAATCTTATATGCGTGTTCTCTTTCACTGTCATACTCCGTTTCTGCTTATGAGCCTCAAATGCAGCTATCTGCCCCAGAAAAATCAAGTATCCTATGAAATCAATTACCAAGAATAGGCAAAGAGAAGAGCGTGCCTCGAACTTTTCAGAATAATCGAAAGATCTGCGAACTTATCCTGACCTGTGCCTCACGAACTCCATCATCAAAGAGAGAGAGGAGTTTGTGTGGTAGGAAGAAAAGATGATTGGCCACAACTGGACATGCATCCAGAAATTCAGCAAATCTGCAGCAAGAAAACCAGTAAAAAGTCAAGCAAACACAATTCACCACAAAGACTTTCTTCTAGTTCCATACAAAATTTTGTAATGCAAACTTCACTCAGAACTTTCAGAAAATACTTTCATCACATCTCACATCCCTTTCGACATGATGAGACACTTAAATTAATTTAGTACATACAAGATGACCATTTCGTGCTCAGTCACGTACTTCAGGGGCAGCTGACTCATGAGTGGATAAATTGAAAAAACTAGTGCTAGAAAAGTTCAACTTACTGCACAACGAGGGAATAATGAAGGGCCGCATCTTCAGCAAACAGAAGAGCTTCTATAGCATCTCCATGGTAATTTTCAAGGAACAGCTGAAACGTTCGTACGTACTCAACATCGGGCCAAGATCCAGCCTCTTCCGGCAAGCTGAGAAAAACATCTTTGTGCTTTCCCATCGGTTAACGTTTATCAAAGTCACCAGACGGTGCATCGAATCGTCTTATTCTGCACAGAAACAGCCTGATTCATGAACATTTCGGACCCACATAGAAACAGCGTGATGACAAAGGATAAATGTAAATCTTTGAAGACAATAATTGCGGCTTTACTCCAGATGAATCTCAAATGTGACATGTATCTGCGATTCTCCTCGTAAGAACTATGAATTCAAAACTCGCAAACTCGCCTCCACAATAACTTGGTTCCATATTTTCACATAGCCTCACTTCACAACATCCTATGAAGCTAAATCAAGCACGTATCAACCAATCCTTCTCTGCAAATGAACGACTTCTCACCTGATGGCCATATCGCATAGAACCTCTCATCACAACAAGTAGAATTCCGCTTCATTCGTCACCTAGCAAATTTCGACGCAATACCCACCGATAAATCTTCGAGCATTTCCTTTTGAACTCAAACATCCTCTGAGCTCACACATCGACGAAAGATCGAACAAGAAACTTCTTCTAATTCTCCCATGAGAATAAGCTAAAGGGTTCATCATCAGACAACACCTTCGCGGTCTGCCGCACTCGCAGGTACACTTACAAACAAGCTAGAGACTCCTAATCTTGTTCAAATTAAGTTTTGCCGAAAATTTCTCCAGTAATGCAAAATCCAGTCTCAATCATCATATGCGATTTCTAAAGATCACTGCCACAACCCATCCAGACCTGGGATTTGAGTGAAAATCCAGGGCTTCGGCGGTGTCAGTGACACTGAAGCACAAACCTGAGCGGTGGCGGGAAAGACCCAAAGGATGAAGCCCATTCTTCGTTCATCCACGAGACGATGGTGAGGCTTTCCTTGAATTCCTTGAATGCTCGACCTACAGAGTGATTCGAATCTTCAGTTTGAAGTGTATTGGTGGAACTGTTCATGAGCAGGTTTTAACCTTCGTTGGGTGTATGCGGCACTTTTCTAGCGGGAGCGAGTGTTTCATGTACCCCATGTCTTAAAATTTCTTGCAGAGTGATTGTAATGGAAGTGAATCAGAGACGAGATTGGACCCTCTTTGCGATGAGTTTGGGGTTTAGTGGCTGCATTGACGGATTTACGATGGTGATGAGAGCGTGCATGAGCGTAGAGTTCGTTTCAGTTTTGTCTAAGTTTGTGTAGGGGTCGGGGGATAGCATTGGTAGCAGCATTCCTTAGGGTCCATGGCAGCCTCAGGTATGTAATTGACTTGCCCTACGAATCGAGCTTGTCTATAGCAGTGTTCTCAGATTTGAAATTTCCAAGAAGATAAGATACAAAATCAGTCGCATTGCTAGGGGTTTTTTTGAGTCGCTCTAGCAGTTTTGTAAGGCTTGGTGTGAGAATACTGCCGGTAACTGGTTGGTGGTGCGTTTTCGTGGGATAAGCTAAATAATGGTTAGGGAGAACCAATTTTTTCAAGAAAAATGCGTTGTTACACCTTGAGTGCATGAAATTTTAGTGAGGTTTTTTCCATGCTGAGGAGTGACTGTTGGACCCTGTGCAGAATTCGAGACGGTCAATGATGATGGGTTTGTTTTTAAGGTTCGCAAGAGGCGTTTAGAGGAGATAAATGTTAAACCTCTGGCTGTGAAGGAAGGGCAGCGTCATGAGGATCAGGAACCTGTTGAGGAACAATCTGTAAAGTTGGAGAAGAAAGCAAAGAGGTTGATGACACTCAAAGCGATGTAAGATTATCTTCATTTCATTCTTTGATCGTTCCATGAATGGTCCTTTGGCTCTTCCAGAGAATGTTGACCGGAATGTTTTTTTACTATATATTGTGTCACCTCTACATTTCAGAATACGGCATAAGAAGACAAACAGTTTGTTTCGTTCCAACATCTGGGTTCTGCTCTGTATATGGTTTTGCCTTTACAGACTGTCCGGGTCTCAGGAAAGGATCTCAAATGACAGAGCCTAGTTACTTTCTAAAAATTGTAATAAACAAATACCGTGTTATGCCAATACGGAAGTTTTGATGAACGTGGTTAACTCGGTGCAGGTATGAAGCCGAGTTAGAGGCTTGGAAGAAACTAGAAGAAGCTGCTGCACCGCCCGTTCCTGATGAGCCTTCTTCAGAAAAGTCACCTTCAAGTCCTGAACATGATCTACATGCTGAGTTTTTGAAAGAACTTAAAATTGAGGTATCATGTCTATATTCATTCTCACGCACACATTATTTTTAGAAATGACCTAGACTCAAAACGGTTATCGAGGGTAACGTATGGATGAATTGGAATCGCTTAAATTTCGACCAGAGTCAAGTATGTATCAAAATTTTCGTTTTGAATAAATGTTCAACCGACTATCAATAGGTTAGAGCGAGATTCAGGATTCATTTAGGATGCCAAATAATCACTTCCATCTGAAAAATGTGGGTGATGTTCACCTATGTAGGTCGAAAACGTGGAGGAGTATATCAAGCGGCTGCAAGACCATATTGTTATTGCAGAAAGCACGTACAAACTGTGCGTGAAGGAGATGCGAGAGGATGCCAACTTTCGGCCAGCAGATGAGATTGTTCTTGCTCTCACAGGTCAAGCAATATCCGATGATGTTATTGCAACTCAAGCATCACTTGGATCTTCTGTATCACTAAGTGATGTGTAAACATCGATTGAGAAGGTGCTAAGTGGTTCTGATCGTGCATCTCCTCAGCACAATGGTCCCGGTGGTTCGACAAATATGTTCTTCTTGGTTTACGCACAGCAACTAGACAAGGGTTACTTCCTCTTTAAATGTAAAGGAATCTTCTAACGGTTTAAACAGCGAAATTTAGACATGGTTCATTCTTTTTATCCCTGGGACATATCTCTAGTACCTCTTGGTTCTGTGTTACAGTATTCAAAAGACAAATTGTACAATACAGTTGTCTAGGTTAGAAAAGCAAGTGAAACTCTACCGGTGGGAAGGTTATTGGATTATTCTTCAGGAGAACTACGTTGATCTATTTTTTCTGTTCACGTGTGACAGAAGATAATGCTTTGCACCACCATAGCTTGAACCAGTTTCAAGTTCTCTCAGTTCACAATATGTAGCTTCGTCTGCAATGCAAGGAGTGGCAAACTCATCCCATGAGCTCAATATTATGCTTGAACTCACTATTGTCTGAAGCTTTGTTGACTACGGGAAGTTGGGTGCAAACAGAGTGCACTTTGAATGTTTCTAATTTTATCTCTACCCATTAATTATATCGTATGTGGTATCCTAAGAGCCTGTGTAATATTTTCCAGAAGATTCCACTGTGAGAACTACCCTAACAAGTTAGAAACTTATACCCAAGGGACATGACATATCGGTTTCTCTTAGGATTAAGGTTTTGCACTGTGAACTCGTGAGGTAGATTCAATAGTTAAAAATGGTGGGTCGTTCTCTTTACTAAGTTAAAATCTATTAGATTGTTCACGTTGAATTGCCGAAAAATGAGTAGGAAATAATACTTTTCAATATCTTCCACCGTATTTTATTTAATATTGTACTCTCAAGCTCCAGTAGCAACATCTTAGCAATGTTATATCTCTTTGTCTATACTTGGATGTCGAACTCGATTCAAACATAGGGAAACTACGGTAAAGATTATGCCAGGTTTGACACAATATATTGCAAGTCTAATCAGCCTTCATGAGTTAAGAGCATGTTTATAGTGAAGAGATTATAGTGTCTATATTACTGATTTGGTAGGGGCTCACCTTGATCCATGATTTAGATTCTGTGTTCCACTTGTCCGCCTGGGCGGGGGGTAATTCGAGGAAACGTCCTCAGTTCGGGGAAACATCCATCGGGAACAGTTGTAGGAGGCCATGTGAAGATGGGAAATGCTCACTAGGAGAAAGAAGTGAAGGTTTATCTGAAATGACAGACGTCCCTATACTATTTTCCCATGAGAGTCGGAGATACAATCTTCCACTGGGTACCCCAACAAGTCTGAACTTTTCTTCAAAGGCATATTCCTGCAACACTCGGGTCAACGTTGTGGCTGTCGACCCTAGATAATCCTGCAGTGACATTCTCGGAATACTTAGTAAATCTATCAATTTCTTTAAAATTGGTTCATTGAAATTTCTGAAACAATACTAGTTGTTTACTTTAATTTATTTGTGCAAGTTACGTATTGAATTACTGAAGTCACGTTATTATTTTCGTTAACCACATGACGTCAAGTTGTATTCCTTTAAATGCAAAGATTATTGAAATATTGGCGAATTTACAAGTCCAGGGGATTTTTAAGCCGTCTAATCACTTTTGCAGCGTAATTTAAGGGGGTGAATAGATAAGTTAGTGAGTCCAACACACGACATACGGCTCAAGGATAAGAAACGACCCTGCCAATAATTTCGTCGTTCCAAACTTCTGCGATGAGCATATCTTGGCGGGCGTCTTGAACATGAAAATCAAATGTTTCATGCCAGATTGGATTCAAGGTGCTCTGCTTAACCTGCAACGTCCAAATGCTGCATATCATCATAATACCCATGTTCCGTTACATTCATTATGAAAGAAAATATTGAAACAACATACACGATGACACATCTGTTTCAAATCGGAGTTTGTGAGACAAGATTATCATGCCGAGGTCTTTTTCTTCAATCTTTTTTGCTTCATCATGTGAAGGGCCACGTACGGATGACTCCTGCCCTGGAAATCGGCAGGAAGAAGGTTTTCAGCGCGCGCCACTGTGATCGTCAATATCCCACGAATCAATTCCCACAAGTTTCCCTTGCGAGAGAACCTTGCAGACAAACCTCCAGTTAGTTGAGGAACAATACCCGCATGTCCAGCATCTTGCATAATTCATTGTATTTGAGCTATCAGATGGAACTGAAGAGAAAAATGCCATGTGTGGGTTAAAATCTAATACTAGGAATGACATTACTAACAAATAAACAATGGTATCAACACAATGTCTAGCACATAATTGTTCATCAACATCCAATGTGATTGTGTGATAAAATTATCTTTTCGCTCACCTGTCACTTAAACAGGTGCTTCTCCTTCTGTGCCAATTCCCCAAATCCAGAGAACTTGATGCGACTTGCTGAAAGCCTTGAAGTTCTTGCTCGTCATAATATCGATGCAGCAGCTCAATATTCACCTTTCAACAAGAATCTAATCAAAAGTGAGTGGGAAGCGCGTTCGAACACTTGAAGGTTATCCTCGACTCTGCCTAGTAAATTGAGGAACTTGGCGTAATAAGCTGAAACCATGCGTTACTCACATAGATTGGGACTTTTCGATACTGATGTCAGCTAAAAGATCGACATTCATTCATCACAAGTTTAACACTACTGTAGGTGAGCCACAGCAAAAATCCGCCCTTCTATTGAATTCCCAATAATCATGTCTAACATCTGCTTTGAAAGCTAGAGGACACTAAAAATGAGGACTTGCAAAACATAAATAGAACATCAATATAAATGCAACTTCAGATGAAAATTTTGAAACCTACTACTCAATATTCAAACAAAGTCATGCTCAGAAAATCTACTGCGGCAGAAGCATCGATCAGATGAGTTAGAGAGGACCTGATGGTGTAAGATAAAGGCGACGATGGCTTCTTACCTGTCCCCTATACTTGGTTTCATCCAAATTTCCAAGACAACGCGCATCCTTAAAAACTTTAAGCCATCGCTCTGTGACCCGCCTGTCGTCAAGTCCCTGCAAATCACTCCTAGGTTAACCGTGTCTCGGAATCACAGTAGGATTTTGCCATACTTGCAAATGAAGCTGTAGGGATAATCCCAGGTGATTCTCACCTGCAAGTAAAATTGGCAGTAGCCCAACACCTGAAATTCTTGAGGAGCCGCATTGTCGAACAAAACAATCACAATTTTTTCTTCTTTCAGGTCATTAAACTCTAGTTCAAAAAACTCATTCCATATTGGATTATTGTTTTGCCTCTGTGACAAAAGGAAAAAAAAAAAGGGATTGCAGCATTTAATTCACCTATTACAAGATCCGGTTCATCATGTGCTATAAACGTGCTTCAAATCGTGAATTACTGGACCTATTTAGAAAGAAAGTGCCTGCTCGAAGGGTTTAAAAGTTTTCATACATACTTCGTCGGAGCAAAAAAAGAGAGATGCAAACTTCGTGAATCGCTTACCAAGTTTCAATACTTGTGCTTGGTTCCTCACAAAGTTATAGCATACAGAAATCATCGATGTAAGGGTTGGGGCGTTACATGTTCCTTACTATGGTCGTGCTCCTCCTTATTTGCCCCGGAGTAGCATGAATGTATAACAGTGCAAAGGGGTCGGGGGGCTTTCCTGTATCCCATAAGTCCCTTCCCTGCACCAATTTTACGTCCAAGATACCGACTGGTGGTTTTCCTTCCGAACCCGTTGCTGCAAATATGGCCGCGTTTCTTCGCGGGAACATATGGCGATTCAGCCTGATGGATGGAAAAAGGAGTGTAAAGGGTCTAAATGTATTACAGTCCTTCGTGAAGTTTAGGCAACTTCTTATGGTTTGAACGAGTCAGAATCATACAAGACGACCGTACCTAGTCGTGTTGCTATCTGCAGGTGTTGAAATTATTTGTATGCAGATCCGCATAGGCCAGCTTAAGGACTCTAATACCGCGTTGTGTATCATTTCCTGTAACAAGTCCAACACCCAGTGTAGAACAATAGAGACATGGAGATTTGCAGAAAATATGCTTTGCTGAGGGAATGGTTCCATACAAAGTTTACATAAGCTAGAATACGATGTCATTTTCATTCAACGTTTGAGAAATATCCTTGAATGTCAACAATTAATGCTTGAATTGTCAACATAATGCATTGCCAGAAGATATTCTCAACCAGATCTTACGTTCAGCTTCTCCGTCACACCAGGAATGCTCGAAACGTCTCCTCCGACAACTTTCAGGGTGAAGTCGAATTTTTTCTGGTCCAAGCATGAAGAAAAATCAGCCAATAGGAAAGTCGAGATTGAACACAGACGTATGTCTTTTCTGAAAAAACTTTTCACTTCTGAAACATTTCCAGCACTGATTCTGAGAGCTGAGTATGCTTCTTGTACTACAGGTTATCTTGCAACATGTTAATGCTTTGCTACTGCAACAGTGAACCGTGCAAGTAGCAGAATAACTGAGTCACTACACCTGCGTGAGGTTGGACCGGAGTAACTATGAGAAGATAAACCCTAGTTATACCTAAAACCAGAGATAAAATGCTGTCAAGAATGTCAGAAGGGATATGATAGGCAAATTCTGCAGAACATCAGAGAATCTGAAAAAATTCAGCATACCATTTTCCTAATTGATAAGGTAAAAGCTCCAAATCCAGGCAGCTCGTCTACCAAAGGCTTGAAAATGAACCGAAATACCATCTTTGAATGTATGTCTTTAACCTACAATTAAAGAACACACACAACTAGCAGCTGCAGCCCTATATCCGTCAAGAGAGAAAAAATTGTGACCACCAAATCCAAACTATTTTCTGAACTGTTCTAGGAAGGGGAAAGTTCTTACCTGTACAGGAAAAGATACGCCCACTATCGATGACACTTCCAATACGCAGCTAGCGTTCCCAATCCACCGCGTGTCCACATCCATTGAAATCCCTTTCGGCTCCAATTCCAGCATTCGAAGTCCTGAATTTTAGGTAGAACTGACGTTTGAACTGATTGATTCTGTATATGCGTAGATATTCTTACGGCTTAACGACATTAAAACGTTGATAAGGTATAAGATATTAAAGAATTATTCGACAATCATGTCGAAGCCAATAAAAGCAACCTGCAATACGAAGTTCATGATCCACACACAAGTACAATTCACAGTCTGAAAATTAAACAAAATAATCAAATGTAATAAAATAAAACAGAATCACAAAAGCAGATAGGCCATCGAAAGCTGGTCTGCAGACAAGGACCAAATAATAAACATCTAGGGAATCAAACAGATATTAATACAATAGACATCAAAGTTCATAACCGCATTTGCAGCGGCAGCCTGCGCCAAGATATCGGAAATGAAGAGGAATAACATGGATTAAAAGAATTGAAGACAACTTACCTTCCAAGTTGGGGGCAACGGAGCCAAGCGTAAGCTCCTGGACTCTGACTGAATTGGCAAAGGCAGGCTTAAACGTCTCAAGACGATGCTCCCAATCCTTCAGTAAAATCTTTGAGTAGGCCTGTCTCATCACTTTCGCAAAAGGCGTCAAATGACCTTCCAGTACAAGCGACTAAAAGATAATTGAAAGTGATTTACCCAAGCAAGAAATGCACTCAAACTTGTACAGAAAATCACTTGTAAACTGCACGTACACAACCGTCGTTTTTTGAGAAGTTTGTACCTCATTGAAGAAGGGCCACAATTTTCTCAAAATAATATTCATCCAATCAACCTGCCAAAATTGCCGACAACTGGATTGGCAAAGCTTTTTAGGTTACCAAGACATAGGACAATGACACCAAGAACAACAGCTACACTATATATGTAAAGAGAGAAAAATTGATTGTAACAATGATGTTGCAGGTGAAAAAATATGCATTATACTACAAAAGGATGCAAGTTACTTTGCGCCCCAGTCTGAACAAACCAAGAATGATGAAATTAGCGAGTTAGAATTGGCTCGGTATCTTAAGCTATGGGTGCCGTCATGTTCCTAGTTGTACCCAATTCAATTCTCAGTTTTCTCAAAGGTTGGAGGCACAAGAAACCTTCTCAAGCTCACGGTTAACAATCCATCGAGGAAGATGGGATTTGGGGAACACAGACCGGTAGTCACTCCTCTTCATTTCGGAAATCAAATGAATAAGGCCTGCCTGTTACCATGTCGTTGACATCAACATCAGAATCTGCACCACACGGGTGTCCATGCTAAATGATGCGAACGCACAAAGAAAAAGGGTGAAGCTCTACAACAATGCACGAAAGGTTCTGACAAGTCGCTAAATGAATGCAACCAATCAAAACAATCTAAGACGACCATTTAAGCAGAAACGGTAATTGAACCATAGCAAAAAAATAAAAATAAATAAATAAATAAATAAAACGACTCTATCCACTTCAACAATGCAGAATAGAAAGTAGTATTCTAACTGCTTGGTTTAAAACAGACCTTCATTCGACGTTCACTTGACCGTTTCCTTTGGGCATAGCCGAATGCCAGAATTATTCCCAAGCCAGCAATAAACCCAACAACAATACCAATTACTGATGTCACGGATGCAGTCCCAGCTACGAAACTCGGAACCGTTTCAACAAGGAACAATGAAGTTGCTTCACGTTCAACCTTCTCGCCGGGCCCCACATTCCTTTGAGGCGCGGTTTGGAAACTCTCCCACCCTTGCAGGAAGTATGCTGGCAAAGAAACACAGACTGTTTCTGTGGCTTGGTTCAGAAGATCGATCACCCGTGCAATGAAATCTCGGCAGGGGTACATGTAATCCATGTCATGCACGCCGTGCTTTCTCCAAAGCTTACCAGAGATTGGTCGCCAAAGCTGCAAGAATCATCATAGTGCAAGCCATTCAGCCACTTCATATCCAACGCAATTGGCAACCGAAGAAGAAGAAGCAGAAGCTGCTCAAACTCAGTCCGCAACCGCAAAACTGCTCCACATCCGTGAATAAAATATTACAATCTTGAAACTATGTATGTCAAATAAAAGCCTAGAGGATTGATTTTGATCCTTCCAATTTTAATTCCTCAACAAGTCTTGGTTTTTGCAATTATATTATTACCTAATCAGTGTGCGGATGTTCTCTCAACTGTTTGAAACTATTTTTGATGAAACGTTCTTTGTTGTAAAACAATTTTACTGAAAACTTGAATACACCAACACAAGATTTTTGAAAATACACTGGTTTTTTTACCCTCGTGTCTAAAACCAATTGAATTTTTAGATGATGAAATTGTTCATCACTTTACATTAATCCTATGTGTGAATATTACTTCAGTGCACTTAATCCAATTCATGTACAGGTATTCAATGGATTTTGCATACTAATGAATCTATTGTCTGAAATCCTCATATGCATTTCAAATACCAAGCAGAATATGATATAACAATGTATTTGATTATTTACTTGGTTGTAATATGTCAATATTATGAGTCATGCCAACAGAAACATCAAGCATTTTTTTTTTTTTTTTTTTTTTTCGTTTTGTTTCTTTTTTCCTATCTTTATAAATAATTGTACAAAATACATATGTCTGGATATTTTACAACCCAACTTTGTGATTTTGTCATTTTTTTACAATATAAAGGTATCTTATAAAAATTACAGAAATAAAAACATCTTATTTATATATTCCAAAAATTACAAAAAAAATACTTCAAATATATGTACAAAAATTTGCATACAACATAACATTTAACATCAATTCACCAATTTCTACAATCTAGTCTATAGAAATAGAACCTTGGTCAGATTTAATCATAGTATACTGCAAACAATAATATTTAAAAAATTATTACACCAGAGATATGCATACCATATGCTACCTTTAAAATTGTTTATAGAATTTAATCTTTAATGCAAACAATAACTCTTCTAAATACAAAACAACACTTATATTTAATTTTAATTATATTTTGATATTTACATGCCATAACTTATCTTATATTTTGAATAACAAACATAAACTTAGATAGTAAAGATCTAAAAAGAAACTTAATTGGCTACAAAAAAAACTAATTGGAAAAAAAAAAAAAAAAAAAAAAAAAAAAAAAAATCTTCATTATTTCAACATGCATGTTAAAAATTAGACACATACATGAATAAGGAGAATATGAAAGATTAAAAATCCATAAAAATGATAAGAATATTGAGTTGTGAAGATCACAATTTGATTCAAATTAAAATTCATTCTTACTCCATTTAATGTTGGATTGGATTTTTAAACCTAAATTGAGATAGAAAAATGCCAATTTACTACACAAAAGTAAGAATATTGAAGCAATACAAAGACTACGTATAAGAATTTAAAACATTAGACTCATCTAACATTCATAAGAAGATGTAGATGGACCTCAAAAGAATATAGGATAGATGCCAAATTAGTATTTATTATAAAAAAAGGTGATAAATTAGAGATTGTTGTCTTTAATAACTTTACCAATATAATAGGATTTTATTTAATTTTGAAAAAAAACCAAGTAGCCAAAGATAGATTAGATTTATATAAATACCACAATAGGAGATCTTAATATTGTAGGTATGCAAATGAGCAAATGTTTTATATTATTTTTTCTTATCAATCAAAATTAACTTTATCTTTATACTTGATGGAGCTCAAAGTGACTTATGTGCTTTTTTAGAAGTAAAAGAAGTAATGCATATCCATTTCATTGAATTAGCAATGTCTTAAAATTAAATTAAGCATGCACCACCAAACATGGCATTGACATACTATCAATTAAGAAAGTGGTCAAAGTAAGATTCTTGGTGGTATTAACAAAGCAAGCTAATTCAAACTCTACTCAAGTCTAATACCTTACAATTAGGTAAAGATCTTAGAATAAAGTACTAATTTGGTTGTAGATTGTGTATGTTAAAAGTAGAGGCATATAACGTGATTTATATTCATAACTATCCAAATTAATAGTAATTATAGTGTTAAAAAGGTATCACATATAAAAAAAAGTAAGAGATATCTTCTTTGTTAGTTTGAATTATTTGAATTATTAATAGAAGACCACATGGTATCAAAGACAAGAACTTAAGAAAGATATGTAAAAAAATGAGATATGACAAAATAATATTAAGAAGGTATATATATTCAAGAAAAAATTGGAATAGCTATTGCCAAAGAGTAGAAATCTACAAATTCTTGAAACTAGACTAGAAGCAAGAAAAGAATTGACAAGAATGAAGAAGGCTTCACACTTGCATTCATATATATTATCTAATTAAGAGCTACATGACAACATTCTATAAGTCCTCCAACATGTGTCCAATTTGCAAGATACTTGTCTTAACCTGCAAAATAAGTTTTTTTATATGTATATTTTATAGTTAGCTTATACCACAAACTACCAACTTGTGCAATATATGACTAACTTTTTGGCCAAGTGTTCAACCTATCAATTATTTATAGATGCATATAAAGATGAAATTATATCTATGATGCTTGTAAGAAGTAACTTTACAAGATATTATCAAATTAATTTATATTTATCTTCTTCTATCTATCTATATTTTAATTAGATAATTATTAGAATTAATATATATGTTCATGATATTATTCTTCTTTTTAAAAATTATTTCCATAAAAAATGGTGATTCTATGTTTGTAAAATCTAAGATGCAACAAATTATATTTCTCACATATTCTGATCTTTGTTTCCTTTAAAAATAATTGATAGGTCCTTTCAATCATTGATAATGTTCCATTTTAAGATAAGTAGAGAATTTTGATATTTGAGAATTGTTAAGGCCTTTATAACTTTTCTTAAATAAACTATTTATCATACCATCAAAAGTTGTTTCTACCTCTAATAAAATCACCAAACATCAAGAGTCTCTTCTAAAGTAGTGATATCAAATACATTCTATCTTGTCATCTATTTGAAGAAGTATATATTATTCTTAAGGATCTTTATCTTAATTAAATTATTTTGAAGGTTGTAAAAATTACAATGTCTTGTTCAGTAATTCAACAAATAATAACTTTTGAGTTGAATATGCCAGTTATTAATTTTTGTCTTGTTAGTGCCTGTAATACAAAAAATTATAATAAAGAATAAAAAATAGAATATCATCTTCATTGAACATCTTTTCTTTCATAGCAAAAAAATACTTGATTCTTTATCTTCGTTTTAAGGAATGTTATTCATAAAAAGCTTTAACTTTCTCTGCTGTATTTTTAATATTCTTTGTTGGCTTCCATGTCCATTTACTAGTATTATATCTATGCTAGTAAACAAGATATTCTAACCTAAGTTAGTGCTGCCTTGAATCTAAGACTTCTTCCATCTCAAATTCTTGATTATTATCCACTTTTATAAGAGGCAATGATATTTTTCTTCTTTCTTAGATATTTACTATCTTGTATGGCTAAAAAAAAATACATAAAATATGAGATGGATCTTCATAGATTCCAATAGATATAATCAATAAGCAACTAGATTGATTGATTTACAAATAGAATGTAACAAGGTATAGAAAAAAATAATTATACAGATAGTTAGAACCATGGAAGTTTCTAGAATTAAGATTAGTTTAATGAATCAAGTGATGCCTATCATAGAAACTTCTAGAAAAAGAATTTAAGGAAATTATCTAGGTAAGATCTACTACCTAGGAACAATCTAGAAAGTCTAAGGTAGTAGGTTAAGGTATAAATAGGGCTGACCAAGGCCTTTTGGGGCATCTAGTCAAATATGGCTTCAAATCTTTTCTCTTAGTAAAGTTTGGTTCTGCATCTTTTTATTTAGATTTTTTTTTTTGTTTTATTTTTATTTGCTCAATTTTTTCTTTCATGTCTTATTTTATTTAATTCCATTCAATTTTATTCTCATTTGTTTTGTCCTACTTTATGAAGAGGCCTTATGTTGTTGTGGATTGGAAGGATCTTAGATTTTTGACTTAGTCTAGTTCTGTTTCATTGATATTTGAGCAAGTATTAGACTATTTACTTTTAGTAGCATATTAATAGTCATCATATAGTCTAAGGTCAATTGTTGAGGTCACATTGGATACTATCTTGAGGCTATCACAAGCTACTCTTAAAAAGTCAATTGAGAGGTGAAAGACATTACAATAGTGGAGTCCAGGAGAGAAATTATAGTATGGGAGATATGGCAGAGCAATCCTAGATGGAAGCTCAAATACAATACTTCTTAAGCCAAAGAGCTACTTTGCAAAGGTAAATAGAAGCCTCAAGGACAAGAGAGTCAATATCTACTAGGTTGAAATTGAGTACGTTTAGTACATACTTTAGAACTTTAAGACAGGAAGATGTATGTCAATGGCTCTTCAATATGCAACAATACATCAAACTATCTAGGACAAATACCACTAAAGGAATAATATATGTAGTTAGTTATTTGAGAGATGCAGAAACTATTTGGTGGCAACATTGAATTCAAAGTTGTAGAATTCAAGGTGAATTCTGTAACTAGGAGGAGTTTGAAAGCAAGTTTAGGAATCAATTTTGGCCCATCAATGCGAAAAAGATAGTGTGTGATCAGTTGGTAAATCTTACACAAGCTAGATTGGTGCAAGATTATATCTCTTAATTCAACTTTCTATGTCTCTAAATTGACAATGTTTTAGAGGCGGAGATGATGGATCAATTCCTTCGAGGTTTAAAACTTGTAATCTAATGAGAAGTGGAGTTAAGAGATCCACAAACATTTGAAGAGGCAATTTGGATTGGAGAGAGGGCTGATGCTATGGATTTCAGAAATTGTGGAATATGACCTACAGTACAAAGTCCTATACTTCCATCTAATATTATGGCACAACAACCAATGCCAATAGAAATTGATGTCTTACAAGGATCATTGATACTACAAAGATGACAAATATTGGTGCAAAAAGGATTGTGTTTCTATTCTCAAAAGCTAAGCCATTAGATTAGAGCTTGTCCAAAATGTCAAAGTGTAAGTACTAGCAGGACAAGGGAGGTTCACAATTTCAAAACTCACCAAGCAGATAAT